GCTAGTTTACACATTTAAGAAGCTGTTACAAACTGTCAAACAAAAAATATGTATCTTGTGAATTAATGAGGCTTCCTAAAGATACAAACTGTGTCTGTACACAGCATGCGGTGATGGTGAAGGGAGAGCAAGCAGAGCACGGCAAAAAGAGCTTGCAGCTGCCAGTGCAGGGTTCTGCCCTGAAGAACCCCCAGAGGAGGGTTCATTGTCCCCAGCACCAAGCCAGCATGGGCTGAAGTAGTCCTCAATGAGCCTAAGTTAGAGAAAGGACATTGGCAAAAGTGGGAATGGGAGCTATATACTTCCCTGCATTCAAGAACATATTCACATACTCAGATGAGAAAGGCATTGAGGTGGGAGTTACTTGTACTCACTAAGGAACAGGAGTCTTCCCACATTCATTCCTGGTACCACAAGCTTCGTGGGTGGTGATACAGCACACGACAGGCATCCCCAAGTGGTTCTCATGTCTCTGTTACTGGAGGGCAAGTAAATGAAGGTTATGTCTAGGCCTTAGCATTGAGATATTTCTGGGCAGCCCACATGTACTGCCAATAGACTCTGCTTGGACTCTCTCCACTCTTATCACTTGCCTCTGTGCAATGGAGTGACTACAGCAGCAAGGGCAGGCAGCAGGGGAAGGGAGAGCTCTGGGGCAAAAGCAAAGAGGATGGAGAAAGGGAGAAAGCAGAAAGGAGACTAGATAGGCAGAAGTCTGGCAGCAAGGCTCTTCAAGGAAGGACACAAATTCTCTTTCACTGCTTTAAAGAGTTAAAACAGTGTGGAAATTAATACATGCTCAGATTTACAAGCACGGTACAGAACACAAATGGTATTAGGCAAGGCTGGGGAAGGTATCTGGTTTTCAGTCCCAGTTCTTTGCACTTCCCTTCCCGAATGCTGCCCAATGCTCTTTCAATGAAGGTCACAAACCTCTTCTGCTCTTACTTTTTCTGGCAGGAAAAGCAACAAGAGCCTCACAAAATTTCTTGCTTGCTAAAGGACTGGGAATTGCAATACCTTTCAACCTTGCTAGTTGAAGATGACCAGGAATTTACTGCAAACGTTAAATTCTGTGGAAATTGCTGATTTCTCTAAAACAGTGTTCCAAAGGGGGCTTTGCTGAACTTCCAGCAAAATGTTGATGTGTTTCTGGGAAGCACTGGTGGACTCCCACTGACAAATAGGCAGCAAGCTGGAGAGGGGCTGGGTGGAAGACGGGTTGATGTCCTCAGCTGAGCACTCAGGTTCTGGGCCTCATAAAACCATGAGGACTTGCATCTTCGTGGCACCTGGAAGGTCTGGTTTCCATCACATGCAGCAGAGAACCCTGAAAACTACCTCTGACATCTCCTAAGTTCATCTCCTCTTCTACGCCAGAAATTTGCATGGTGCCCTCTGTATTTGCAATGCACTGAAACAGATAAGCAAAACTCACCTGTATGAAACACTTCCTGACCTGCTGCCCTTGGCTTCGAGCACAGACATACCTGAGACACCTGTCTCCCAGATGTCCTCCAGCACATGACACGTGTGAGTGGGTGGGAGGGGGGCTTCGACCAGCAGCTATGCCAGGTTGTCAGTCTTGCATCATCACCAGTCGTCTGCAACACCTGATCCTTTGGAGATGTCACCTTCACACCTTTCCATTGCGGTGACCAGTGATGGAAGGGTGAGCTAAAGGAATAACGTCCATCCTTTTCCTTGCAGAGACCACAATAAAAGTCAGACCCACTTCCAGTGTCAAGCCTAAGTCTGCATCAAGGAGACTGCCTTAAAAAAAACACCCTAGTATTATGTTTTAGAATAGAGAATTTACCTAAGTAAATAATTATTTTTAAACCCAAGATTTAGGCAGCTTTAGTATTCCACATTATGCTAATGTTTGACAATTACTAAGTGTGGGTATCAGCCAGCATTTTTTTTTTTTTTTTAAGTTTAATTTAAAGCAATTTGACATGGAAAGGTTATTACTTTAGTTGCCAATAAAAGCTGTACTTTTAACATAAGTGTACACCAAGCCCTAGGGTATGTGACTATTATCTTTTCTGCAATTATGTGGTGTTCTACATAAATGTTAAAAAAAAAAAAAAAAAGAAAGAAAAACTTAGAAATATCAAAAGTACCAACTTAGCAGCAGTGTGGAAGTCGAGCAGCAGCTCCGGGGAAACGCAGCTCCTGCAGGCACAGCACAGGTTGAGGTTTCCTCCTAGAGGTGCCGCCGGGAATGGCTTCGCTGCCGCCTGCGCAGCCCAGAGAGGTGCCTTCTTCCTAAAACATGTTTCTTTTTTCCTTTTTCCTTTTTTTTTTTTTTTTTTTTTTTTTTTTTTTCTCCAGGTCTTCAATTCAAAACGGCTTTTTTTCCGCCATCCCTCTGGAGCTGCACTTTTCCCTTATTAGGGGAAATTGTGGTTTCCGCTTGCTGTAGGGTCGTGTTGCCAGAGGAGCCCTGTGTAGCAGAAATCACCACCATCTTTGAATGGAAACCAGTAAACCCATCCCCCCAACCCCTCTAAAAATTACATATGAGACCTTGAAGAGCCACGATGCTATTTCAACCCGTGAATTCTAGGGTGGAGGTGCGCAGAATTAAGGAGAGAGCTGATCCTCAGCAGCATGCAGGGCAGTTCAGCGTGTGCATGGGGCTGAGCAAGTCTTCTGACACCTCCAGGATTCATTTCTTTGGCCAACATAAGGTTGCCATTCAAGCTGAAAACATCACGTGCAGTTGCCAGTAGCAGTGGGGACCTGGTACCTTGGGCTGGCTGACCAGACCCCATCCTGTTCCATGGGGCCACTGCCAATGAGCGCAGTCTCTTGCATCAACCCTTCTGAGCCAGGCCCATGTGGGTGCATGTCTGTGCCCCCAAACAGGGGCCAAGCCCCACATCAGCCTGTGTGCAGATAAACTTACTCCACTCACCCTTCAAAGGCAGAGCCCGGGGGTAAACAGATTGAAACAAGACGGATTCTAGTCCAAACACTGAAGGTTGCTCAGTTAAGAGATCACTTTGATATAATTATTTCCTTTTTTTAAGTCTGGGTCTTTTTTTTTTTTTTCTTGTCTGAGTTTTGTTTTTAAAGTTACTTTGGAGCTTACGAAGTCACAGCATCACCCTCGCCAACTGCAAACCTTCCAAAAACACCCAGCACCAGGGCAATGAACTTTGGCTTCCTGCATCACCCTGCCCACGCCTGTCGGAGCTAACCTGCAGCCATCACCAGGCAGCCAGAGGGAGCTCAGCCCTTTGTCTTCCTGCTAGAAAAGCAAGAACATTGGTTATAGTCACAGTGCCAACTCCAGTTCATGGTTCAAATTAGCTAAAGTTTGTTATTTTACACTTTAAGTAGGAGCTGCAACAAACTGCTCACCAGCAGTCCCAGCGATAGTATACAAGCCCCTCTAGGATCCCTTGGAAGAGCTCCTGATGAGTTCACCAATGTTTATACATTAACCTCTGGGTGAAAAGCCAGCCAGAGGGATGTGAGAACTGCTCCGAGCCCTCCAGAGCATGACACAAAATGATGCAAGTGTGGGAGCTAAGAGAGAAAATGTTGTGCGAGCCCAGAAAAATAATAAAACATTTAAATCCTTAATTGTTTTTCTTGAAGATTTATCCAAAATTGAGCTCTCCTTAAGCTTGTGAGTTTGCAGAGCATTGTCAATAAATTAGATCATGCACACAAGGCAGGGATTTCAAGCCAAAAAGCTCCAGCCGTGAGTCGCTTAATAGCAACACTCCCCAGAAAAACGACTGGAGATGAAGCACAAGATATGTATTAATTATCAATGGTCTAATAGGAAATTTAATGAAGACAAGTATCTTCTTGCACTTTATCCATGATAACTATGATAGCACGTCAGCGAAATGCATACCTTACAGTGTGGCGGTGAAATGTCAAGTCTGAGGCCATTATAGCAATTCACCACAATAATGGCTAGCCAATGTATGGACTTGTAGCACTTAATCAAAGTAATGACATTCATCCACAATTATTTATGTTATGGTAACAAAGAGCTGCCAAATGCAAAACAAATGACATGAGGACTTGCAAGTGAATTCCTTCCCGTAAATTCTGCTAAGGTTATGCTTAAAGGCCCTCAGGAATCTGTATAAATTCAGAGCGTTATCACCGGTGTTGTTATTGTGCCACATTTTACTGCCTGTAAGTCGTGAACCCAGTGGTCTAGCAGGGATGGGCTCCTCAGCCAGCAGAGCTGTCATGAGACCATTGGAAATGGCCCTGATATATAATCAGGAAATGTCTGAAGAATTTTACGGAGGAAAAAGAAATGTAAAAGACCTTTGCTTACTTCTGCTTATCAAGGAGAACGCAGAGCTAGTTAGATCAACACTTATATGTGTATTTAAAGTACAAGAGCAGCCCCCACTTACCTCAAAGGGCTTTGGATCGCAGCCATTGTAATTGCCAACCATGATTCTCTATTAAATGCAATACTTTTCTTTTAGGGGCATTTATGTGGGTGTTTGTATAAAAACACTGTCAAAAACTAAGAACACCAGTAAATATAAAATGGCAACATTCAGGTTCAAATGCAATGAACTAATTTATTCTTTTCAACAGTACATCCAACTGTTTTTCACCACTCGCAGATGTCACTGGAACAAATTGAATTAAAAAAAAAAACAAAAAAACAAAAAACCAACAGCCTAAGAACAATATCCTGCACAGAGCAGTTAATATTAATTGCTTTAAAAATGCCCTCTATTAAGCTAAATAATAGCCAAATCTCACTACAGTAAATGCAGCCTTATATGATTAAGTATAATATAACAGAAATATGATTGCATAGTAGAAAACATGAAAATGTTGAAAATGAAGGCTTCCCCCCCCCCCAGAATATGAATCTCCAAAGAAACACCCAGAAGAGGAAAACACCCATTAGCCAGTCATTCATCCAGAGGCCAAAACTGTGATTGCACTTAACTCTACCACTCTAAGTGAACACTTTTCCAAGAAGGGAGGCTGGTGGGCTCTCACCACAGGCTCTGGCCACCCTCAATGACCAGGTTGTGACCCGTCATGTAGTCTGAAGCTTCGGAGGCCAAGTAGACAACAGCGGCCTGCAGGTCGGTGACCCGTGCCAGCCTGGCAGCGGGGATGTCTGCCAGCCAGCGCTGCACCAATGGCTGCAGCTCCGGGGAGTGGATGAGCGGCGTGTCCACGATGCCTCTGTGAAGAGCACACACGATGTGGGTTTAGGGATTTGTTGGCCCAAGTGGAAAGGCAGTGCAAGGTGTTAATTCAGAAGGAAAGCCGTGGGCAGCAGCACGGAGAGCCTTGGCATTGGACGAAGCTCATAATGCAAACTTCAGCAGCGCTGTTTTCCGACTGCCTTGCACTACCACTGGGCAGGCTTAGAGAATTTATTTTAAAAGGAGAACACACGCACACTGTCATCTTAGCTAACAGCAAGACCCCCTAACTTTCGGGTTACTCATCATCAACTCCAATTTACATTTTCTTATAGAAGACAACATGGCATTCAAATCAAAAGTGCCTCCAACCAGGTCTGTCGCTACACTTGGGAACTGCTGTCCTTATTCTGATTTCTCTTTTTGCAGCATGATGTTACACAGTATGTTCATATCCTGCCCAGAAACTGAAAACAGCCCAACTTCCCACACATTAAATACAAGGAAAGCAAATGCCAGCACCTTTCTCAGCCCTGAACTCTTTCCTCACAAAAAAGGAGAGACACATCACAGTGGAATCCCATCAAACAAATGCCCCAGCAAAGCACGTACCTGTCTTGCCTGCTTTACATTAATGAGAGACAACCCATTTTATTAAAACTCTGCTAAGTTCATTTTCTCTGGGTGCCCTAAAAATGAGTGATGCTCCGGAAAGCACAATGCATGGTGAATGTTTGGCTGGCTTTTATGACTTTAACTACGACTGATTTGTCATACTCCTCCTTAACAACATATTTGTATTTTGTGAAATGTATAATTTTTTCAGCCCCTGAACAAATATATTTACATAACTGTGTCTAACGAGAAATTACATTTAACTTCTCAGAAATGACAATAACTAAAACCTGAACTGCCAATTCCACTTCATTAGTGTGGTAGAAATGCATTCCAAATGTTAATAAAAATTCCAACATGCTGATAAATTAGCGCTTCTAAGGAGCATGTGACACCTTGGTTAACATATTCAACCTCAATTATATTTCTCTTCAGCACCCTGTTATCTGGAACCTTTGCTGGCAATCAGAGGTGCTGTTTTTCAGCGGCCAATTTTCTAGATAATGTAGCTTATCAACACTGTGGGTAAACTTGCCAATGAAATCAGGCTGCACTGAACCACACACACGCTAATTGCATCTCTTTTTTATGCATATTTACAGACTGTCACTTCAAAGAAATCAGTGGCCCATTGAGGCAGCCAGTTAGCTGGAAGAATTGCCTCTTGCAAATGAAAATTAGCAAACAAGCTAGTGATAAATATGAAATGAACAAAGTATAAAAATACCCGTTTTGTTCTGAAACTTCATCGGCATCCCAATTTATACTTCCAAGGAAATTATTTTTTGAGACATGCTGGATTCTGGGTACGAGATTTACCTTTTGTTTTAACTGAAGGCTGAAATCTTCTATTTACTCTGTTACAAAGTGGAACTAATTCAGACTTTCCTCCAAACATTTCTGCTTTCATTAATCAGGCAGGATTTAAAGATCAGCTTTATTTTTTATTGTAATTGACAATAAACACTACAGCAGTTCACAGCACTGAGCAACGCAGCTTGGTTAGGCTCTGGCGGTGTAATAATATCAAATGCATTCCAGCATAGGGCTGCAGATTTTACTTCTTTCCCCTAAGTGCAGCTCCTAGTCTCTCCCCTTGCTCACCCAAGCTCCTCAAGAGCTGGTTTTCTTCAGAGAGAACCATACTATGAGCAGCAGAACACATCGCACTCCGTCCCCCCACGTGCCTCTCACTGCGCTCACAAAACCACCCGCATAATCATTTCTGGCTTTACACTATCAGACATCAAATTTAAATCCTTATAATTCTTTTGCTTTTTTTTTTATTTTTTATTTTATTTTTTTTTTAAGTTTTAACCCAAAGGGAATGCAGATTAGGAAATACAGCATACATTCCTCCAATACAGCAGATTTCACTTAAAGAGGATGTTTTTCAATGTTTGGAAAAACCATCCTTGATCTGATTTCAGCCAGGGGCTGCACCTCTTGGTTGACCTTTCCCTAAGCTCACATCGAGTAGTAAAAATTTTGATGTGTGACAAAACTTCGTTACAAATTTTTTTGTTCTATAAATGAGAAAAAAACGTAGCACAAAACTTAAAGTTGCAAACACACATACTGATGGCACTATAAATATTAGGCATGTCATTGATACTACACATTTTCTGGGAAAGCTTTGGTGCCAAGTTGGGCAATTTAATGTTGTTGAACCCTTTTAGGCAGATTTTAGTTGGCTTCTAACCAGTTCCAGCAAAGACAACTGCCAATGCATTAATTCCTTACCTCATCTCGTATGCAGTGCTGAGCCTATCAGTACTTTCTGTTGCATGTCAATGTAATATCAAACTGCTAGTTCCTTAACATTAGACATGAGCATCAATATTTAATTATTGATACACAGGACAATTTGAGACATTAGAAGAAGAAAGAAAAAAAAAAAAAACAAAAACCAAAAACAATTGCCTAAAACATTTCCACTTCGAGAGACACATTAGGAAAAATATCACTTACCAGATACTTAACTGGAATTGTTACGTGCGTTCAATCCCCAAATGAGAGCAAAAAGAGATTCCATCTGTGTGTAACTTGATTTCTTTCAGATGAGTTATTAATTTGAATGAGTTAAGTACACTCCACTTAATCAGGAAGTGTTTAATCAAGAGATCCACTTAATTGGGACATCTCCCAAGGAATTAGATTTAAGTCCAAAGATACTTACCAGCAATGACTGCTGCTTAATGGGGATGGTAATGCCTCTTAATTGGGATGCCTTGAGATGATTCCGGGTTGCTCATTCTCCTGCCATTCCTTCCCCCAAATTTGGTGACCCCAAATTTGGGGGAGATCCCTACCTGCTTTCTCACACCTTGTTCCCACTGGGCTGAAAGCATCCTGTTCACACAGTGCCCATTGGTCAAGCATGCTGGCTGCAAAATGAGGCATCCCAACACCATGCAAGCTGAGAACCGAGGTCCTCAAAGTTCCCTGCTTCATCACACCCACCTAACTTGAAATATCTGCTGGGACCAGGAAAGAGACAAACACATGCACCATGAGCAGCTCCCCATTTACACATAATCCCCTCTGTGGCCCAAACTGCACGCCTCTTTTGATGAAGTCCAGCACTTTTATTTTGCCTGGCACCAGCTGTGGAACAAGCTAGGAAGCAACAGAATAGACAATGGCAAAAGGACTAAGCACAGAGATGCTTGCTTTGCATGAAACAAGAGGCAAAGTCATGGAATCATAGAATGACCTGGCTTGAGAAGGATCACAGTGACCATCCAGCTCCAACCCCCTGCTGTGTGCATGGTTGCCAACCACCAGACCAGGCTGCCCAGAGGCAGCTTTGCCTTGAATGCCTCCAGGGATAGAGCATCCATCAGGTTCCTTGGATCCCATGCGATACAAGGAACCTCAGTCACTTTCTCCCCATGGGCTTGAGACTTGCTTGGCCAGTGAGAAAAGGATCTTCGGTTTTATAAATGCAATAAATTATGCTAAGGACTCTGCCATAACATTTTATGCATTGATAACTTTTATGCATCGGTCTGCATAAGTTTTATGCACTCGTTAAGAAATTAAGTTGATAAAAAGTGACCAGATAGGAAGAGGAAAAAAGGCCAAAAGATTTGCATGGTGAAATAATGTTCAAGGCCAGACTGGAGTGTATGGAGCTTCAGGCAGATGTGTGCTGTGAATGCCTTAAAGCATTAAAGAAATCAAGTGTGGGGAGAGCAAAGGACTTAAGGGCACACCTACATATTTTACTTCTCCATAGATTATCCAGAGTGAGTCTTCCATCACAGCTTATATCCAGCTCTTGTGTTTCTCATAGCCCTCAAAATATCTCAAAATGTTGCACATTACACTGGACATCCACACTCAGATAGACTTGTGCATTTGGAACTTCTTCCAACCCAGCAAAGTGCTCTGATGGCATCACAGAAACAAGCTTCATATCTCTCATACAGGCAGAAGCATAAGCAGAGTTTGCTTTTAGTGAGGGGGATCTGACCAAATCTCACTAAACACTGACCCAGAGCTCCACATGTGTCTGGACAGGAGAGGCTCAACCAAAGCTTTGAAGTAAAACTCTGCCAGGATTTGGGAGCCTTTCAGTCCATGCATTGGACTGCATTGGAGAGAAAGAGCTGGAGACATTCAGTACAGCCAAAACCTTTGTCCTTTCTGTGCCCTTCCTGGCTATTACTTTGCAAAGAAAAATCCCACTTGCTATCATAGGATTTTGAGCTAGAGTTAGAGTTAAAGACATGATGATAAAACTGCAACCTATTTTGGCTTATAAAGTAGAAAAAGAGAAGCATGACTCTCTTTTCCCAATGCTTTGACAACTGCCTTTAAAAGCATAACTTCTTCAAATAAGAGTGTAAGTTTCCAACTTACACAAAACAATGAGTTTTGATCATTCAGTGGAGACTTTTAAAATTTATGTAAACCCCTTAAGAATAGGTAATTCCTCCTCTAAGAGCCTTCTCACCTGTGATCACTGTAAATGTGGCATACTATCCCATCTCTGTTGGTAACGATTACCTGTGCATTTGCAGGCACAGTTCCTGCCAGGTCCTGCTGGGCTTCCCTAATTCCCTTCATCTCCCCTGGCTCGCAAAAGCCTGTGTAAATTCAGCAGACCTAGCTGTGAGAATGCTACAGCAGAGCTGCTAGTACTGGCATGGGGAAAATCCTACTAGCAAGTGAGATGCTGTTTAAAGAATCCATGGATCACATCAAGCAAAGGCTGGAGTCACTGCTATAATTAGTAATAAATAATCATAAGGAAGACAGCTAGCACAAGGAAGTGGAGAGTCGAACTGACAGTAAAAACACGGGCACTTGCCATTGAGCTCCGTGGTTTTTTTTCTCTTCCACTTTGTGGATTAAAATATGTAATTTGTTTTTCCTAATTTGACATACATTATAACTTCATTATTACAATTTAACTCCTGGGTTAAAATCCTGCCCTTCTTACTTACTCTGATTGACTTCAACGGTCTACGGAATTTGACCGCTTCCAATTAGTGCTATCCACTTGGGTTTCTGCTTAGCACTATCATGCACTGTTAATTGTTTAATAAAACGACTGTGTTGGTCATGACTGCGAGAAACAGGGAGAGAAAAGATGGCAAGAAAACTTTGCTCTGTGAATAAACACCGTAAAATACAACATGCAGCTTTAAGCCTCCAAAAATAAGGAAAATGTAATTTGTAATAAATATAGATATATATTTACAAAATTACACCTGGCCTCCTGCAACTGTCAGAGCTGAACACTATCTCAATTACAGCGCTGCAATGTGGCGTTTTAAGTGCCTATATATTTGTCTCAAGCAAAAAGGGGAAAGAAGTATTGTCTATTAAGTGTCAAAAGCCTTTTCTTTAACCGCGGAAGGCTTGGACAGACTAAGGAAATATTTCATCTGGAAGAGAAATGCTAAAAACTACCCTTCACATTATTGGAAAACCTATTATCAAATGCTAAAACCTCTTCTTAAATCCCTGAGTATACACAGCAACAGAGCAGGCTCGGTTATAAGTATTTAAACCTTTGTTAAGGAAAAGACAACATAAAAAGGGATGCAATCCACCTACTAATTAGAAACTTTATTTTCCAAGATACTGCTCATTTGAGCTTTTTAGAACATTTCATTCCCTTTGTACCTTCAGAACGAGACTACATTTTACTTACGGGGAAATGCAGTTGACTTTTACTCCTCTGTCAATCCATTCCGTTCCTAACGTCTGTGTTAATTTTACGACCCCGGCTTTGGAGGCATTATACGCCAACTGCTTCTGTGGGTGTGGAACTGGAAGAGATTCAGAAATAGGAAAATATTTATTCTCCTCAAATTAAGGCGTGTGGGGAAGTTCCAGCGCCGTTCCCTGCCTTGAAATGAATTCTTTGGCGTTTTCCCTGGTACCAGGCAGGGAGCAACAAGAGTTTAGCCATCACACAGCAAAACTGAATCTCTGGTCACCTCACATTTTTGCTTCAGCATCTGGGAGAAATGCAAAAAAAAAATAAAAGAAATGAACTCAAAACATTTTGTGTTTTGGCAAAGCCAAAAGCAGTGTGCTAAGCATATATGCAAGTGCTTGACTTTTTCCAAGAAGGATAAATAATCACATTGATGTTTGCACGTTTACGTTTTATACACATGTATATTTTATGGAAAATATGCATACAGTGCAATACTGATATAAAACCACACCACATGATATAATACACATGCATTACAGATTTGTATATAACATACCATATTATATATCTCCCTGGAACAAATTATTCACTTTAATTTTTAAATTACCCACAGTCTGAAGCAAACACATTATCTAATCAGTGTTTGTATGGATGTGAGCACAGGTGCGTCCCAAAAATCCTGAACACCCACCACTTTCAGAGTCTAAAGCTTCTGAAGATGTTTCAGGGATGTCACATGTCAGTCACGGAGGGAAGATGATCGGCTTGCTAATTACAATGTTCAAGCTCGTTAGTGTGGTGTGCTTGGTGGCTCTGCCCCTCTGCCAGCTCTCATGCTTGCAGTGTTCCCAGAAAGCTGCTTAAGGACAAATCCACAGTGGGTTTAAAGTGCCTTAAACCCATCAGAACCAACCTGAGTCAGTGTGGCTGTTGGGATTTCCACCTGTACATTGTCTCTCTGAGGACCTGCTGGCTATCGTGATCTCCTTAAATAAATTTGGTGCAAGGCACTGATGTCACGGGACATCAAAGGGAACTTTGTGAAAGCGGGGAAAATCAGTCTGAATGTCAGTAAATATGCAACAAGCATTGGTGACTTGTACGGTTAGGCAGCTCTGCACCCTGGGAGCCTCTGGTGAAACTCACAATACATGGATAGAAGCACGTGGAGTCACTGGCAGTTGACATTACACTGGCCTAACTCATGAAGCTTTGTCGAATTTATGAAGTTGGTGAATAAGTTCCAAACCACCGCTGTCTAGGGTACCCCAACACCTTCACAACTACTTTTTGTCTAAAACAATTATTTCCAAGTGTGTTGATTTCAAGTGTGAAAAGAAGACAGTGACAGAGTTAACCAAGCTCTGAAACAGTGAAGACCCCTGCTGCAAAGTGCTGAGCAAGACAGTAAGCACCTTTGCCTTGAGTCACAGAACCATGAAATCATTATAGTTGAAAAGATCGTCTAGTCCAACCATCAACCCCTTCCCAGTAACCATGGCCCTCAGTGCCACATATTCCCTTTTCTTGAACACCTCCAGGGACAGTGACCTCAACCACCTCTGTGGGCAGCCTGTGCCAATGCCTCACCGAACACAGAGTATCTACAAACAGAGATATCTGCAGTATCTACGAATGGAGATCGATATCTACGAATGGATTTGAAGAACATAAAAAATTGTGGCAAGAATTAGTGCTTCCTTTTGCTGAGGGTATGCTGAAAACTGGGCCTTTTTAGAATTAAAACTATTTGACACTGTCCCCTTTGCTAGCATTTCTTCTGCCCTAATTTTTTGTTCTGTACCAAATGACTCCCATTCCAACCTGCAGAAACCTGCTGCTATCCATGTCCCCATCACCCCACAAACACAGTGCTCTGTGTGGGCTCTCGAGCAGGAGTGGCACCTAATTTCCTGATTAATGGCTGCACATCAGCTTCAAGTTATGTACAACTTGGGTAGTTAACCTCACAACCTCCCCAAAGCATCTCATTGCTAAACTTTCCAAACACGTCTGTCTGTGATAAATCACTGGAAGTTTGCTCAGAGGATAAGAGTTTTGGCACTGTCTCTGCACCTCTTGCCCACACGGGTGAGAGCAGCTAGTGGTTGCCAGCAGTCAGCACTCTGATTTGGGGCAGGAGTGTTAGGATTTACAAGGCTCTCCACATGTCAGTGCTTTTGTCTTCATAGGAATGGCTAAAGAAGGTAACCAAGACAGGATATTCTTCTCCTGAGACACACAAAAACTTTGCTGAGCATCTGTACCACTTCCTCCATTCCCCGAGCCACATGTTTGGGTAATGCTTCATAGACCCACAAATCTTCAGCGCTCCAAACCAGAGCCTGTGAAGGAAGCCATGCCTCAAGCGGTGTCATCAGGATTTCTGAGTTCATAAGGCCTGCATGAAGGGAGAACACTCGCTCCTGTTTCGCATGGAGAAGGCAGGAGGCGAACAGATAAAAATGCTGCCAAGATCAGCTGCATTACATTTTAAACATCTGACACATGTTTTTGCTACCTTGTTCGTAAGGCTTCTCGCCTGACCTTGAAGCAGCCACGTAATGTTAATGAGAAGCACACACAGAGAGAAGAACAGATCACTTCCCACTAAAGATATTTGCTGTAAAAATTAGAGCGGAGTTCCACCTGTACAAATGACAGAGCTGCAGCAGCCTCCTCTCTGCTGCTGAAGCATACGTCTGGAATAATTCCAGTCAAACACCAGAATCAACATGCACATATGCAAAATGTATGCAGCCTATCTTCAGTTAATTAAAATTGATTCTGAGCAAAGTATCTGGAAAATAAAAAATCACAAACAAAAACCTTTCTATCCTACAAAGAGTCTCCTCATTTTCCTCTATCTCTCAGGAAGGACTCAACCTACAAAAAAAATATATATATATCCCCTAACTATTTCTAGAAACATTTCATACTATGCCAGTTGGCCAACATACTTAAATAACCAACCAACCAACATATTTATTTAACATTCAGCAGATGGACATGATATGAACATCGTGGTTTTCAGTTGTAGTTTTATAACTACTAGATTTTTCTCATGCCAAGATCCAAACAGGTTCAGAAGGTAAACACATCCCTTTGTCTCCTAACTTCTGGCCTACCCATGCCCACATGCATTAACTTTCAGTGCCATTTAAACAGGATGCACAATGCTCCTTTTGGGCCGCACTCAGAGCTGCACTTCATGAGGGCACCTGAAGTCGACAGCTTTGCAGTCTTTTCAAATCTACTTTTGTTTCAGGAGATTTTGTTACACAAAGCTGGGGCAGGAGTATGGTGCCTGCGCTTGAGCATAAGTGAAACAGCTGGTAAAGACACTTGACAACAATTAACAACAATATTATGAATGCACTTTTGAAGAAACATTTAAAGTTACTACGCAATAAACTGAACAGAATGTCACAGAAAGTCAAACTGGGCACTGTAAAAATAAATGTTATTCCCAAGGAAAATAAAAAGACTGCATATTTATGTAACGTTCAGCAGATGGACATGATATTAATACAGGGGTTTTCAGTTGTACTTTTATAGCTACTAGATTTTCTTGCCTAACTTGGCAACCCAAGGCACCATTTGATTTTTGGATTTGGACAATACTGCAACAGATGTCCAGACCAATAAAATAAATTCCTAAAGGGCTATGCTTAATTTGTGTAATTGATCAATTTTTGTTACATGGGCCTCAGTTCACCAGCATGTAACTGCCTTCCAGATTAGCTCAGCAGTAGGGATTTCGTTCCATATGTTACAATGGTTTATTGGTGCATTTGACGACGCTGCTGAATCAGCAGCGTCGGTGGAGACACCTGTTGGCAACGGCAATGAAATATAACCATGGTACCGTGGCAAGGAGTGGCACAATGGCTTTTGGGTGTCTTGTAAACATCAGCAGGGCACCACTTCCTGCACTGAAACACATTTTCCTGAAATTAGTGGGGAATGCACCAGCACTTCTCCCATGCCATCCCTGCATCAGGCACAGAGGTGACTCCGCCTCTTCTATAAAAAGCAGTAAGTGCTCTAAAACATAGAGGACAGATGAATGTTGAAAAATGATATCAATAAAAATTTTGTAGTACATTTCCTCTAATACAAAATGTCAGTGATTTACTCCTTCCCAATACAGGTTTAATTGATTCAAATAGCATCGGTAGTAATTAAAATATGGATTCTGAAGCACAACTGTTAGCTCTCATCACTCACCTATTAAACTTGCCATAGATGCTGTGTTAATTATCTTCCCATATCCTTGATTCAGCATAATGCGGCCTGCAGCCTGTGACAGAAATTAAAGGAAAGACCAGTGACCCTTTTTGTGATTGTGCTAATAATGACATGATAATAAATTAGTCTTCACTTTTCAGAAGAGTGTATGCTCTCACACATTTTTTTAAGCACTCAATATAAAAACTTGGTATAAAAATGGCTGATGCAGGAAAAATTCCATTGCCATTTTGGACCAACTTTGCTTTTGGCAATTTTTTTTTCTTTTTTTTTTTTTTAAATCACTGATGCTGGCAATGGCTCCCCAAAGCTCTCTGCTCTTCAGGAAGTGTCAGATAATCACCCTCCCAGAATCAGGCCATTCTTAAGCACCTGAGCTGGGACAGCCAGTAATGACCAGCTGTTCTGAAAATGTTGACCAAAATCTGTAAGTTGATTAATCCCATGAAGTCAACCCCATTATGATGACATTAACAATAAAATGGTGTTTAATAAATAATACCAAAAACCAATAAAATCTTGGTAAATAAAACTAAGAACATTGCTGCCCATTCGCATATCAAACCTGTACAGCATTTCACACTCACTTGGCAGCACAAAAATAGTCCTCGTAAATTGACATTGAAAGTTTTGTCCCATTCTTCTAGTGAAGTATCTTCACTTGCAGAATTCATATTGATTCCAGCATTGTTGCATGCAATGTCAATCGTACCCCATCGAGCTACAATGGTATCAACAATCCTTTGTACATCCTCAGGTTTGCTCACATCTGCTGCAAGGGCAATGCTTTTAATCCCTGAATTGAAACAGAGGTGAATGGGAATTCAGAGAGAAAAAAGAAATTGGTCTTATGATTGTTTATTAATTTATCTGCATGCACTATATATCTGTATTTTCTATGTATGTATGTATTACATATATATTTGCCACTTTAATTTGCTGCTAACAAACCATAGCCAGTTGTGCATTTGTTACTGCAATGAAATTTAAGTTGCTAACTGGAGTTGGTTTGCCTGCTGGTAGACAACATAAAACTGAGATTGAAAGCAGAGCTCGGCGTTCCAGCAGGACGAAGCTGTGAACACTGCACCATCTTCTGTCCAAACACTCAACTGCAGCTTCCCAGCAGGGGAGCAACTCCAGCACTTCCTGGGTGCTGGGGACCAGAAAGTGCAATTCCGGAACAAGGCAAAGCAATGGGTTCCTTCATTTGCTCAAATGCAAATACATACACATATATTATACAACAGAGCTCCAGATGCTACAGAAATTCAACCAATTTGTCCAAAAAAGTGTTTTCTTGTTGAACTGCAGTGCGAGGTCAGCCTGGAGCTTCAGAGAAAACTAACCCAGTTTTAGGTGAGAGCTAACTGGAAATACCTGCAGGCTCACAGGTGTGGTGGTCGTGGTGCCAAGCCTTACTTGCTACAAATCACACTGTCAGTGTAAGCAGCACAAACATTCTTAAGGGAAAAGATTTGCTGGATATGAAATTATGTAAAAATTGTGCTTTCCTTTCCTAGAAAAACAATCCAGATGTTGACTATTGCTCCAGTGCTGATTTGCAATTAGCTTCATTTAATTTAATACCAAATTCTGTTTTAAATATCCTTATTATTAAGCCACTGTAACAAGGTTATTGCAAACCACTGGACTGGGGAAAGATTGTGTGTTATAAGCAGTTCTCCTAGGAAGCAAGAGGAAAAGGTGATTCCTACTGCAGACAGGAAGGGCTGGCTCATTACTTGCAGTGCTGATTGTCTATGTTTGAGACCATTTGACTGGTACCTTACCCATTTTTCATGGACATTTGAGACCATTTGATCAATACCATATGCATTCTTCAGCATTCAAGATGTATCTAAACTCCCAGATGATGCTTCAGACCTCACGAGAATGCTCAGAAACCAGTCTCCAAAGGGCTATGGGCACTGCTGTACTGTCCCCTCTTGAACATGTATGGAGTTCAGATCTCTCCTCAAAAAAAATATTTCTGAGCAGAAGAGAAGGCTCCCCCAGACAAAGTCTTAAGATGGAGGCAAAGCAATAACAGCCCTGTGATAATCTCCCCATGCAGGGAGCCACCTACAGAAAATGAACAAGCCCTCTTAGTTAATCACAATTTATATGATAAACATGTTGGAAGAATAAGAATATCTGGACAGCCCACTTCGCTCCTCCTAATTGTTATTGAGACTTAGAGGAAACCATCGTGGTCATTCTTATTCAACAGGCAAAATGGGTGTAACTAAGGGCAACAGAACGAGGCTCTTCACCTGTCCTCCAACTCTCACCCCATTTACAGCTTCATCCTACATGATAGTTCACAAAAACAAGACAAAAGGTGCATTGAGTGTCTAGAGAAGAATTAGTGAAGGCATGCTCATTTCAAACAATCCCACGCTTGACCTTAATCAGCTGATATCTCTGCACTCTGTCAGAAGAAAATAAACAGCTTCTTTCTCTCCACTGTTACCCCAAACCTTCTGATTAAATAAGTAAACAAAACAAACAGTGGAACAATAGCTTAAATCTGTAGTATCAACCAGAAGCAAGAAACACACGGCCCTGCAGCTACACGCATGATAGTACAAAAGCACCTCTTTAGTCTTCAGTTTGTCTCTGTGAAGCTGGTGGGGGCAGTTTTGTGATGAAAGGAGCAGAAGAGGAGCCCCAGCGTGCCCAATCTGCCCTTCTGAAGGGGAGCCCCTTTGCCACGGGGCTCCATCTCTTGGCTCTCAGCATAAATGGAAGTAATACCTTGCATACAGACAAGAAGATCAGAGGTGACATTGTGGGGAAGGCATTTGCATAGTTTACAGTGAAAATGCACATTTTAAAAATCCCATCAGATTAATTCTTCCCTTAAGGTAGAAGAAAGGGTTCCCCCTGAAGACAGAGGAGTATGTATAGGAAGGTAACCCTTAGGAGTTTTTGGTTCTGTTTCATCATTTTTGGTTCTTCTGTCAGGATCCATTAGCAACAGTTGAAAAAGGTATTCACTCAGGATGTAAAAACAAAGACCCCTGTAGCCAAGGGAGATACACCCGAGATGTCTACCAAAGCTAAAACTGAGATCACAGAGTTTCTGATGTTTAAAATCCATCATGAAATGATGGCACCATCCTGGAAGACAGCAAAGGGCTCCTTGGTATAAGAAGCAAAGTGGATTTAAGAAAGCTAAGTAAAATGTTTTGAATAAGTATTCAGTACGGGGATGACTTGGGGTGCGCTGTTTCCAACTTTGAGAAAGAGATCCACAAAGAGTGTGGGGGGGAAAAAATCACAGCTCCTTTGTGTCTATTATAGCAGGAAAAATATGTATTAGTACTACAAGTATTGCTTTAATTTACACATGTGAATATTGTGAGAGTAAAGCTAGCTGAACCTTTTTGTCAAAATTTATTTCCAACAGAATACGTTGCTTCTTTGAAGCCAAAGTGTTTCATGGAAACATATTGATTTCAACAAAAGTTTTCAAGGAAAAGCTTCTGAGGTCCAGGCTAGGCACTCTAGTTACGTCTGGGGAGAAAGAGATTGAAAATCTGACCTTTCCAGATCCTTTCCAAGAATGGGCATTTGGATATAATTCTCTTTCACAAAAGCATTACAAAGTTTGGGTTTTGTTCCAACAAGGAATGACAATAAATTTGAAACCTTAAAAACCCGCGTGAGATGGAATAGATGTGCCCTGACCAGCTGCACTGGTCAAGTTGACAGAGAGTATTTGACCTTGAAAGATAAAGATATGTGAAGACTGAAAAGTGAGACTTTCTTTCTTTTAGGCTGCAATAATATTTGCAGTGCCTCATGACCCCTCCAACTGCATTGCATAACCCCTCCACCACATCCACCTTCTTTGGGCTTGCAACCCACCAGCAAAAGAGCAGAGATAGGACAGCCATTGAAGGACCGATGATCAAACTCCTACTGAAAGTGCCCTGGAGAAAAGTTAAGTTCATTTTCAAATGGACCACTGGCATCCCAAGTCTCACAGCTCTATCAACTATCTCATTTATTTCTGAACAGCTCTGTTTGATATGCAGGATCTCACTGTAAAAAAAATATCCAAAAGGCAAGTTAACTTGTAGGGCACAGCTATTGTGTGCCAAGACCATATGGCTTCAGAGCATAAGAAAATGAAAAGCTTCAGGGAAAGAGGGACTAGATGATTTTTTAAATTTAAGAATTTGTAATAGGAACTGGAGACACTCTAGTCTGTGTCATTGTTAGGGATCAGACCAGCAATCAAAGCTTTAACCATTGCACCAATCCTCATTGTGAAGTGTCCTATCCTTACTAAAGCTGGCATCATACAGTCTGGGATCTGTTGTTTCAAGCATTCTCTGCAGAGGCTCAGGACGGTGTCAAAACCAGAAACGAACCATCCCTTGCCCCTTCCCTAGGAAAAAGCTGATAGATGCAGAATGATGAGTAATAGAAATGTATCTGCAAGGGCTTGTTTTGCTGGATAATACAGTTTCCAGTTGCACAAACACAGTTTTCATGAATATTTTCCATTTGGCAAAAAAAGCTTTACAGTTCTTAAGACAGAGTGGAGACTCCAGATTTTAATGCGCAGATCATCCACTGGTAATCAAACCCTTTCTGAAACCAGAGTGGACACAAATTCTGTTGTCTGTGTCCAACTGGGACTGTGAAAATTTCCTCGGCAACGTTCCATCTTCAGAGGCGATGAAGTAGTGAACTTTGAAGAAAGCTTGGTTGTAATCCCACAAATGGAATTATAAAATGAGTAACACTTCCTTTCTTTTCTCATTAAAATTATATTTCCAGTTTTCTTTTTCCCCTTTGCAGGTTAGCATGACTCTAGGGGGAAATTCAATTTTATGTTACATTTTGTGTTTTTACTGCTAAAATAGAAGTGCCTTGTAGAGGATTTTACCTCTTATTTTGGACTTCAGTTATTATGTCTACTAATATTCTGTTCCTTGTCTGACCTCATATTCATGTTTGAAAGAACTATAGGCGGAAGTTTTCAACAATGACTGCCCCAGTTTGAGGGCAGTGTCATGCTTACCTTTGAGGTTGAGCTCACACGCCACTGCTTCTGCCTTTGCGAGGACCAGGTCCACCACAGCCACTTTAGCACCAGCTTCTCCCAGCGCGTGAGCAAAGGCCCTCCCGATTCCCTGCCCACCGCCGGTGACGTAGGCCACCTTGTCATCCAAACGCAGCCGGTCAAGGATGCGGTTCTTGTTATAACCCCAGAAAACATCATCCTTTATCACTTCTTTCTAAAATGAAGACAGATACATATAACACAATCCGGGGCAAAGCTCAGTACCAGAACTGCTGCGATGGGCTCTGCCTGTGAGGATGAAGTGAGAACGTGTACAGGGATCCGTGTCTTCTTGACCCATTAGTTAATGCAAAGATGTGATTAATTAAAGCAAAAAAAAAAAAACAAAAAACAAAAAATCCTTACCCCTACTGATATTATTCTCAACGGGAACACCAAGGTGCAAGGTGATGTAGCAGAAGGGCTATGTTTGGGAAGATGCACTGAGCACTCCAAATACATGAGAGTAGGGTGCAGTCCTTCCCAGCTTCCCATGGGAGATTATAGAATCATAGAACAGCTTGGTTTGGAAGAAACCTTAAGGATCATCCACTTCCAACTCTCCTGCCACAGGCAAGGCCACCAACCTCAAGGCCTGGTACTGGACCAGGATGCCCAGGACCCCATCCAACCTGGTCTAGAACACCTTCAGGGGTGGAGCAACCACAGCTTTCTCTGGGCAGCCTGTTCCAGCACCTCACTACCTCTGCTGTGAAGAACAAGGACATGAGCAGGTATGACCTCTCAGAAAAGAACTGATTAAGTCTTCCATCTATTTCACTCCCTGGACCAAGTCCTGCCCTCCAGTTCAGCTGCCTCCAGGAAGAAGGAGGCTGAGAACCTGTTTCCAAAAGCAGGATTTGGCTCAAATGCTGTGCAGTCAAAATATCTTCACAGGGCTGGTGCGCAAATAAAGATATCAGCCAATAACTTTAACCAAGCTGTCATCTGATCAGCTGCCATACATCATTTTCCCCTGGCTGGAATCACAATGGAAAATACAAGATGTTTAAAATATTGGTTTTGAAATGCCAGGAATTACTAGTGGATATAGCTTTGGGAGCAGTCAGAAACCCCCAAATAATCAAGACATTTGGGTCTGGATTTACAGAATTGGGCGATTACAATTCCAGATGGGAATTTCATTATAGCTGGATGATACCCATTACATAAAATGGAGTTCCTACCAAAAAAAAATACCCAAAAAACCCACCATCTTTTCCATAGGACAAGCTAAATCTGTATGGCACTAACAGCACAGCAGAGCATAAGTCTGGGCCCTCAACAGCAAATCCCTGCTCTTATCACTGTTCTCAGCAAAGTCAAAACTTTCCCAGAAATGTTCACAGAAGAGAAAATACACACCTTTGATTCAATCACTGCATCTGGTGGTACAGGGCTCCTTCGAATGACGCTCAGCCCGCTTTGCACAGGTAAAATTATCTGCAGACATAATGCATAAACAGTTAAGGAAAGTCCTTCCTTCATTAGGCCAGAGCAGTTTTTCTCCTACTGTTATTCTTTAGCTAAAATTCCTTCCAACCCAAATATGTCAGGCATCTATATTTGCTCACATTCTTCTCCCAAACTCCCAACTTCCACAAATGCCAGGAAAAAAAAAAAAAAAAAAGCAATTTTGCCTCTCCATTTCCTAAATGAGTGTCAGCTGCTGAGATCTCTGGGTTTCCACTGCTTGGCTAATGCCGTTATGAAGACATTCCAGAATCATTCTCAGAACTTAGCAAACCATAATAGCTTCACTTCAATGAACACTTCAGTGTTCATCACTATTCACAGGAACCCATAGGTAAATTTCAGTGGGTTTTGACAACTGCCTCTGATACTGTTATAACACTTCAGTGAAAGAGGCTCTCAGTGCTGGAGGTTCAACGCCAGGATCAAACTATTACAAAATTAAATACAGAAACAACATGCTGTTTACACTCATTAAATGGCTAATGGTAATATACAGGGCATGGAAATCCACTGTGAGTCTTTCCCTTTTCTACAAAGAAAAGTCATTGCTCTTGGTGTTTCACGGTTGAGTTGATGACAGAATAATGGGGTATGACAGGAGGCACCTCTAGAGGCTCTCTGTCCTGCAGATAGACAAAGATGAGCTTATGAGGCACAAAGCCCAAATCCTGTATTATGGCAACCAAAAGGAGGCTCTTAGAAGAGTGGGTACATGAGTGTGAGCCTTGTATGCTGGTGCCACTGTGTTGGGGTAGCATTGGTAACAAGTGCATTGAAAGCCTCACTGACTTCTGTTGTGCTGGAAATGCCTTGTAGCCTCCAGAGGCCTTAAGCAAGTGGTGGTTCCTTGGTTATGTTTAGAGCTGATTATTCATATCCAAGTGCTCAAATTTAACTTGCCTTTAACACTGGAGATGATGTAGACAGAGAATAGGGACTTTTGCTGTATATAGAAACTCAGGAAAGGTAAACTATAATAAAACTTGGGTCCATTTTAGGTTCCTTGAAAAATGACACCGACGAAAGAAAGATTCTGACGAGTACTTTGCAAAATCCATGGATACAGTACCACAGGCAGCCTAACCAATTGCATTGCACCAACCTGCTCAACACGAGGATCTGAATTAATCACTGTATTTAATTTTCTGACAGCTAGTACATTTTCCTCAGATATGTTCTCCAGGTAGACTTGTCCTTTCATGAGTGTATTCTCTACACAGATCACTCCATCCATTCTCAGCAAGTGGTTATCCATGACAAAGCTGTAGTAGTTAACAGCGTTCCTTTGATCAGCATCAATAAAGACTATATCAAAGTGCTCATCCTCAGCATGTAATGCCTGGAAAAAAAATGAGGATGGAGAAAACACTAATTATTTACCTGCTGTCTGAATACCAGTTTCAACTTACCATTTAAAAGTCCTTTATATAAAAAACTCAAATATGAAGAACTCTGGACGTCTTTATTTTTTATATATATACTTTTTTTTTTTTTTTTTTTTTTTTTTTTTGTTGAAATTATTTCTGGAGATCTTGGGAGTTTCCCATGCTTCACAAAGAATTCTTCAGCAGCCCCGGTGCCCAGATCTCTGAACCTCTCACAGACAATCAGGATATAACAGATGATTGCTCATCCCAGCTTGTCTTGTGGAGAATCACAGCAGAAACACCTGCACGTTGAGTCAAAGGGGACTGAGCCATCAGGGTAAGGGAGAAGACTCACATCAAACCATGTGGCAGCTGAGCTGCTGCAATAAGCTCTCTCTTCTCCAAAGAGTAACTATCCACAAACCAAAGAGTGGCAATTGTAACAGTCTTTGGGAAAAAGACATCAGGCTGATCCTGGGAATTGCAAACTAGTGAGTCCCACTTCAGTAACAGGCAAATGGTTGAAATCCCAATTAATAATAGAATTACAAAGCACATAAAAGAACAGGTCATGGCAGAGATAAAGCAGCATAGCTCCTGTGAAGGAAAATGATGTTTCTTTAATCTAAAAAAATGCTTTGGGTGGCTCAGCAACAGAGGATAAAAGAGAACTGGCTTCTATCATCTAATTGGATTTTCAGAAATGTGGCACACCTTCTCTCCAAGCAGGCTGCTGATGATAATGTATAAAAGTGTTGATGGATGATCAGATGGGAGCCTTTACAGCCTTCTCCTGTGGCAGTTAATGCACTCGCTGCCCAAGAGGCTGCTATGGAATATTTCAGATTCCATCTGGGACTATTTAACTGCATCTGTGTGCGTTGCAATGAAACAACGGCTCATCCACCTATCTCAGGCAAGCATAAATGCTTTCAAGTCTTGGCATTTCAAGTGAAAAGAGAAACAATTATGTTTTCCAGAACTCACTGTTTCTACCACAACTTTTAACAGCAGTTCTTGAGTCCAGATTTCCCTTTTGTGTTTGGAGACATTGTGTACAATGAGTGATGAGCGATCCCCTGAGGTGTACGAGAGAAAGCATCAAGAACAAATGGCTATGGAATATTTGAAAAACTAATTTGTTTTCAGGAGTGAGATTGATAGTTCCAAACAGAGATTTCAGGAACCTTTCAGAAACAGAGTGCACACTGTTCTGATGAGAAAATAGCAGGGAGTGGATCACCGAAGCTCTGAATTATTCTATTTTGCAAACTGGTATCATTATGAGCTTGTTAGTGGGTAAGAAATGAAGCTCCTTTCCCTCTTGGGCGATACTGGTGGAAAGCAGCAGAGACACTTTTGATATGGGGAAGAACATCTTATATCAAACCACAGCTCAGCCAGTCTGCTCTATGTCACTGCTTCAGGAGGGGTCAGAGGATGGAAGCTGGGAGGAGGAAAGAAAGATTAGAGGTCTCATTCTCCAGAGAGAAGAGCCAAAGCCAATTCAAGCAATTACCATGACTTATCACTACTTTCTGACTTGTAACCTTCCTGGGTGGAGGAGGTGGGGGGCAGGTTTTCAGAAGCAGATGTGGCAATCTCTAATCATATGCTACTACTGCTTTGTGCTATGGCTCCCTAATGAAAAAGAATCTCACTTTTATGCAATGGCTTCATTAGGTCCATATGGAGTTGTGTAGCTCCTAGGATATTTGTTGGACATCTTGTTTCAACCCTCTTTCTGCACTGTCTACCTGCTGACAGCTTATCCCTTTCTTATCTACCTTCTCATGCAGCCAAACCATCCTTCAGCATCACATTTCTCAGCCCAGGAGGACCCCTGTGCTCAGTGTGCATCTAGCACAAGCCTGTGTTATCCTTGCACTGCTGGAAGGTGTTTCACTTCAGCCGCTTTGAGTCCTGAAAAAACAGCCTCAAATTTCACTTGTCACCTTCCATTTCCTCCAAATCAAGCCCTCTGCAGTCTCCTACTCTAATTACATTCTTTGTGTGTTGCAGAGCTTTGCAAGACACTAGAATGTGTTGTGACAACTTGGGGGTGGATTTTAGATGCCAAGATTTAGGCAAATAGGTCCATTTTGTTTAGCCTAAGTTATACCACACAGCTTCCACGTGCAGCCCCAAGTATCCTGTTTCATATACCCCAAACATGTATGGAAAAGTCAGATGTCTAAGGCAGCTGAAGCAGAACTAGACACTTACATATGAATGCCTGAAACACTCCCTTCGAGTTCACACTGGGACCTCCCAGCAGGTCCAAGTGCAGAGCTTCAAGCTTGAAGCAGCAATGCAGTGATGGAGAGAGCAGGAGAGCTCACTGCTACTCCTCTCAAAATGGGATTGACCATCTTTTTCTTCTCTGTGGGACTGAGCAGATCGTGCCTGCTCCTGCCTGGGACCTCACAGCACTTCAGAGGTCCCTTTGTCCTTTGCTAAGGGAGAGGCAGAGCCCAAACATCTCCAACTGTGAGGAAAACTGAGATCCAGAAGGAAATAATCTGCCTGCAAAATATCCTGCTGAAACTAATTTCCTGAATGTTTACAGTGCAATCCTTGCTCCTTGCTACAGAGGCATCATAGATGGTAACAGATGGCAACAAGAAATGTCTTAATTCAGAGCAAAGTTGGCTAAAATTAATGCTTTTACTTACAGTGAATCATTAACTTCCTCTTGGATTGGAAAAGAAGGGAAAAAAAAAAGAACTTGTAGCACTGCATTGCACAGAAGAGACACACCAAAAGCCAGCACGAGAAGGGCACAGCAACACTGTTGACAGATACAGCAAAAGATCAGGGAGAGGACATCCTGAATAAAAACATGAATGAATCTTCTGGCAGACTGAAAGAAAACCTGATTGCAGCTCAGATCAGAGACAACGTGCTCTCATAAGGCACATACAAACTCAATCAGACACAAACGACTGTCCAGTTCCTTTGAAATGGATCACAGTCAGCATATTTGTAATAAAGACGTACTCAAAACTTATTACCTTCCCTACGCTGTGTTCTTGACCTAAATGCAATAGCAATCCATCCTTAGAGTACACAGAATACATGAAGAAGTACAGCTTCCTTTTAAAACACCATTAGAATATTTTACTGTATGTGGACATACACTCTTGTTACTCCTAAATGCTATTCTATTGAGTACAGTTTATATTCACCGGCAAAGCTAAATCTCTGGGGAAGCCAGAGAGGGAATGCAATTTCTAGTAATAACAGCTCACAACAGTGAATACTATCCACTTATCCCCACAATTTCCAGCTATTTTGGACTCCTTTCTGAATTAACCTTTCATATCAAAAGGAGCAATTCTGCACACTAGAGACTCCGACACAATTTCATGCATAATTTATTCACTCAGTTCAACATTAAACGCAGAGTCCTTGACTTTGTCAAGGTGGATTCTGTTGGCAGACTTCACAAGCAGCAAAACAGGAGAAATGAGATCTGCAGCTCAACCTCTTCACCTATTCTGTCTGGTAAAAGGAGGGAAGAAAGGAAAAAAGAAACCCCCGGCATGCTTACACAATGCCTTGCAATCAGCAGAATCTGCTGCAAACACAGTGCTATTTTCTGTGTTGTGGCTTCGATTTTAAAGTGGAAGGATTGAAATCATGGATGGGAATAATTTGCTGGTAGTTTGCATTCCCCACGGGCTTAATCCTGCTTTCACTGTTCCACCAAACATCTACTGGGAATTAAAGGGAGCTGTTTGGGAGGGATCAGACCCTTTGCTAACAGCTGATGCAAAGCAAGGCATGTTGCTCAGGCACAGCACTTCAGATTTAAGCAGCTTGTTGGGAAAAGATTTTAAACACTCTGGTTCAGCACATGCTGGCCCCACTACCTGCAGTTGGGATCAAATCTCTTTAATCTCTCCATGACTTTTGGCAGCATTACCCTTTTCTGCTTTATTTCTACTTTCTCTCCCATCTAAGCTGGTCTTCTCTAGGGGGAAAGCAGAGCACTACTCACAGTCTGAGCCTCTTCCATGTGTTGCCACAATGGCGGCCCTGCACCAGACAGACCCCAATGACCCCAGCACACAAAGGCCCCAGAGAGGCCACCAAATGTGTCCCTTCATCATTTGCAGTCATTGTGACCAGAGCCCTAGAGGCCAAGTAAAGCAATTCTGATTATCGTAGTGCCAATAATAAAATATCTGTCAGATTAAGCAACGCAAGTTCAGAGTCCAACGTGGAAATCCTTTCAGAGAGAAACATCCCAGTGCAGAGATCTCACCAGCCAAACATGAGCATCTCAAAGAGATGTTGGAAGCCCCAAGAACCTGTAGAACTGGGGTCAGGACGTGCCTGCGCTTTGCAATCAGAGGCTATAAAATCAATTGCAACATCGTGTGTTAAGGATTTAATTTTCATGTCTTTGCTCCCTTTTTTAATCTCTACACAGCATGTACTCTGCCTGCCTCTAGATATTTCAATTCAGTCACAGTAAGTCAGTTGCACAGAATGGGCACTAGAGAGCAACAGCAATTCAATTAATTTCACACTCACTGCAGGGAGCTGGGATTTTAAATGCTGCACATTGCAGGTGATCTGTAACATTTCATTTATTCACATACTTGGCAAAGCTCTTTGTTTCTTTCTTATCAAACTTGGAGGTCATGAAAGCCAGAGGCTAGGGAGCTCCTGGCCACCTCATTTTGGAAGAAAAAAAAAGTTAAGATACTTGTTAATGGAAATAAAGTTACAATCAGGCTCACAATGACACATCCAGATTGAAGATGGAATCATCTCAAATTGGTTTGCAATGATGATAGAAATGCCTTGTATTTAATGAACCTGGTATTGGCTTCTCATGTTGGTACTCTGGACCTGCAGCAATGCCATGGAGATCCATAAAATAGAATTAAATGTGAAACTCCTCCAGCTTGATCCACAAGATTCTCTTGTTCTTGGGACAAAGTCACTACTCAGAATGAAACACATTTATCTAATGTGTCTGTACATCTTAAGCTTATCACATTGCTCTGGAAGTGAAAAACCCAGGGTCCAACTCCTCGTGGTGTTATCACTGGGAGGAAAACAATGATGGGCTGTGGGTGATTTACAGACTTCTTCAGGACTTTCCCATTGTTGGGAGCACTGGGGCACCTCCAGCAGTGCACAGTTATGTTTGGAATTAGAGACGCCAATCCAATGAGCAGCCAAGTCAAATAAAACTCTGCCACCAAAGCCTACATACCTAAATTTAAAGGATTCCTGTGGTCAAAAATCTGTAGTATTTTGGTTAAGAAAGAAAACAAGCTATTTCGTGTGACAGAGCCTCACCATGCATTATCATGAATAAGAAATAACTCCAGTGCAAGGTTGTGTTCACATATTAGCGAGTGAAATAGGGTCACCACTCAGAAACCTGTGGGCAGGAAATAGGACAAGCTGACCCTGCCCAAACCTCCTTAATCTGCTCTGAACAAGAGCTCCCAAATTCCCCTTCCAACAGACTTTACCTCCAACGTGTCTGCTATCGGTCCCACTCGCATGCTTATCTTTTTACCATCTGAAGAATAATCAAATGCTTCTTGGCTGTTCACTCCGAGATACGGCACTTCTGCACATGCAAAGATTTTGCCATCATCTGGCAATTCTTCTGCGATAGCAAGGATACTGTAACCTTTAAGCTTGCCAATTAATAAAATCTTCCTGGCTCTGATCAGATGAATAAACATCCTAAAAATGTGGCCTGCGGAAAGACAAAAGTGAAAATATAAAAATAAAGCTCTAAGAAAGACAGTTCTTTGTTCACGATGAAAATTAGATGTACCTTTTAAGTCATTATTAAAATAAAATCACATCTTAAAACACTTTCAGATAAGGGTTTAACAACAGAATCGTTCCAAATTTTATCTAAAATGCAGCAAGAAGACAACAGAATAGAGGGACTAGTTTGAAATGTAGAGCCTTTATCATCAATGCTGCTATTGTTCAAGCGCTTGTTAAATAGTGCTTGAAATATTGCATATTTTAACATTCCCCCCATATGAAAATGGCTTTAAGATGTCTCCATATTCTTTCTGGAACCCGGTTAAAAAAAATCACTACATTACCTTGCGTTTGCTCTTAGAGTCATTATCCCTAGACAGCACCATCATTTAAGAAATTTATCATCAGTGGTGTCCTTCGAACAATGTATTAGTGTAATACATTATAAGAGTACTTCACTGTGATGATGTATTACTCAAAGGATGGGAACATCTGGGAAGAATGAATCTAGGAATAGATTTAGTGTAATAAGCTTTATATGAGAATCCAAGCCTGAGTATTGCTATTTGAAAAAGTGCTTGGCCACAAACCACCTTCAACACTAAAGCACATAACACCCTAGCAGGCACCACCAAAACAAAACCAAGGCTTTCCCCCTCCCTGCAGTGAGGACAACCATCTCCTTGCTGCTCTGTAAGGGATGGGCAGCATGAAGCATGATGAAGTAGAGAAGACAGAAAGCACTCATGAGCGCATGTGTGAGCATATATGAATGACCACAAAAGTATGGGGTGGGGGAGGGACAAAATGCATACAACAGGAAGGTTGGCACCGGCAGGAAGATCCCCTTTCTCTTTTTAAGAATTTTTTCACATTTTCTGAACTTTTCCATGGCATTCATCCTATCCCCACTCAAAACGGACTAGAATATGAGGAACTTTTTTGACACTGATTGGGAGTCATTTTATCATTTTGTTTGATCAGCTTGCCATTCAAACAGCCTGAAGTGTCCTCTTGGAGTGGCTTAACTCTGGCTTTGGTTCCTCCAGCATCCCTTGAGCCATGGGCAGGTGACACTTTTCTGGAAAAAGAAATTTCAGCGTTATGGTGGCAACCAAAATCTGAATATCTCACAGAGAATAAAAGAAACAAAAAAGGGAACTCCTGGAGAAAAAGTACCTCTGCTTAGAAGCATGCAAAAACAGCACAGAGACATCACAAATATCACTGAATTAAACTTCTAGGGGAGCCTGGCTCTGTAATAAGCAAGAGCAGATTGGCCATGACTCCTGGCCTTTCTGTGTTGGGTTGGGAAGAAGGGGCTGTGTGTCCAAGGAAGAACATACTCCAAGAGGAGCACTGCATTCAAATCCAAATCTTTCCCATTGGTACCAAGCAAATGCCTACTGTCTGTTTCAGAGTAAACTGCTCCAGTTTCCAAGGCCAGTTTTTGTTTGGTGGTGTGTTTGTTTTCCAGCTGAAAAAAAGATTTCTTCTCAGAATGGGGCAAGAGAAGTAGAACCTTAAATTTTCTGCAAGGGAAAAGAAGAATGTTTTCTTCCCAAACTGCAAAGAGAACAGGGCACCTCCAGACACTATTTCACAGAACCCAAGTCTGAGAGAAGTCTGGATAAAGTGAGATACTGCCTATTGCAGTGGGAAATGAAAAGATGACTGGAAAAAGTCCATAGCCTGAAGACAGATTAGATTACCGTATCTGAAGAAAGCAACCACCAGAAATGGCTGGTGATACTTCTGCAGGCCAGAATTTAGAGTCGTTTGAGCTTTTTTATCCCTCCCTCTTCTCCTCCCACCACTCACCAGTAAAATGAGAAAGAATTCATAACCCGTGTCAGCCACACTCAGATAATCCAAGTCTTAAAGAGTAGAACATTTCATATAACCTCTTTTCTGCCCCTCACAAATGCTTTAACAACTTTAATAAGATAATGTATAGCTATTATCATACAGCAAGCGTAAGTCAAACAACTATCAGCTATTATTTCAGCAACAGAACGAACACTCAGTGTTCCCATAATCCACAGCCTGGAACAGTTTACACATTGTCAATTTAAGACAGAACTGGCTTTTTCCACATATCAGAATGTACACTGATAAATGGGAATTGTTCAGCAGACCTCACATGGCTGGGTAATATACTGAAAAAAAAGGAGAAAAAAGAATAATGAGGGTTTCAGTTGGACTTCTGAATTAACGATACCTTAAATTAGTTTAATTAATTAGTTTAGTTAGCAGAGTTATTTAGTTAGCAGATTAATTAGTGTTTGTTGAGCGCTGGAGATAAAAGCTGCATTTAAAGGCTGTTATTATAGGGGCAGTCAGAGATTGTGATGCAGTTTTTTGTCATATTTTATTTATCCCAGCACCGGTTCAATCCAGGGTTTCCTTGGGTTTTTCAGCCAGCCCTTTCTGGAAGCTGGCTTGCTTATTTTTCCAAGAATATGGTGCAATACTTTGCCATAGTTAGCAGCAATCAGGTAAAACAGCTCACACAACTTACAGCTAGACTTCTTGTTCTCACCTCCTCTCCTCAAGGCCATGGGTGCACTCAGACACACGTGTCAGTGCAAGTGTCATGATATATTTGGACACAGTCAACTCTCACTCTCCTTCTCTCCTCTGCTCTCCACATTTATGGCACATTTTGAACAGAGAATCTAGAAACATATTCATACAATCTGAGAAGAAAAGCACAAAGTTATAAAAGGGGATCCATACCTCTTTGAAGTTGCCATTGCAACCAAATAAGGGTCCAGTCCAAGGGCAACAAGAAGAGCTTTCTGTAAGTAATTCTTGAGTTGTTCAGGTGCACGAGGATCATTGAGGGCTATTTCTTGGGCTTTAAGAAGGTTCTCTGCAATGCTTCCCATTGGGGTTTCTGAAATGGAAAAAGAAAGAACAATGATAACAGTTCAAATCAGCAGACATTTAAACCAGAAGTCATACACAGTACAGGTTTTTGAACGAATATGGAAACAGCCATGGAAAGTTTCTCAACCTGAAAAGAATACACACTTCTAATTCACTTCTCTTTGGCTCCCAGTGAGCTGTGACAACACAGAGTGAGATCTGAAAAATTCCCCATTCCTCAAGTGTCAGAGCACGTGTGGGGTTATGAAAGCACCGGTGAGAGCAGCTCTGAGGCACATGGCAAACAAGCTGTATGCACACCCAGGGTGGAGAAATTGCCCCTGGCAGGATTTTATTCTCTGTGGCAGAAAAGCTGCTGAAAACAAAGTGATGCAGGCCAGAGCCACCATCAAGGACATGTTTCCTCAGGAGGACTGGCCCAAACCAGCCCAGCAGCTGTGGGGCCATCCACGACGCATACCTCTGATTTCCCTCTTCTCCATTTCTTTTCTGTCTATCCAAAATGCCATCCTGGATGTACTCATCAAACATTGGGTCTCACTGGTGTCCTACCTGCTGTCATTGCCTTGCTGACGATCTGGTGTTAACTTCTAGCCAAATGGGAGCAGGACAGAGGAATATCATTTTATTTTTTTAATATCTTCTCTGTCTGAGGGGTTCAGGGGAAAAATCTGAGGTGGATACAGGAGCAACTCCACGTTCTCAACCAGAGATATGGGGATAGTCAGGTCTTCTCATTAAGGATGGAACAACATTGAGCGTCTCCTACTTCACATCTTTGGAAATGGGGAAAGGTCTAAACCTCCCCAAAGGGCTGCTTCTCAGAGCAAGGCATCTCAGCTTTCTGCAGATATTAAGAGAACAACACCATCTTTTGGGACACCTTCAACTTATTTTCATTACCCAAGTTACAAACAATAGGAATGCAGACCAGGAAAATAAATAACACATGTTCATTTTACACGGGAATTACCCTAATGGAGAAGACTTGCAGGTCACCTATACAGCACCATACTCCTGGCAGCAGCCCAGCCTTACACAGAAGAAAAGCAGATTTTGAGTAGATAGAGCAGCCCCTGACTTACAGCTCATGTTGGTGTCTCACCATCAGGGGCAGCTCGCTCCTCTTTCAGCAATATCTAAATTAATGGTCAGTACAGAAGTAACGGCTGCTTTCCCAGACCTTGCTAGCTTGTTGACTTCAGCAAACCCCCCGCAGCCCAGCTATGTGCTGTGTGACAACGCAGTGTCTTTCTGCTACATTTTCACCACCTCCAGGCTCCTGCCACGTGTCTGCAAGATGCTGGGTGTCAGGAGCTGCCTTCTCCATCAGCCCTGCCAAGCACTCCGAGGCTTCCTGCTAATTTAGCGGAAAAAACACGTGTTTATAATCCATGTCGGATTTCAGCAATCATCATGTTTCACTCCTGGATGAGTAACTGACAAGGGTGCACTGTCACTCAGGGAGGGGTAAAAGATTTACCTCCAGCTGTTTTGTAACCTGTGTTATAACACCAACGGCAAGCATCACGAAGTGCTCCCAGACAGCAGCAACATGCAGTACATGCCAAAATCAACTCCACACCTCCACGCCAAGGATTATACAATCTTTTCAAGAAGTGCTGCCTTTTTTTATTTTATTTATTTATATTTTTTTTTTTACAGCCCTGATGATGCTTAGGGCCAACAGCAGAGGTCAGAATTGCCTTCGTTTATACAAGGGCCTGACAAGCTGAAGCAGAGCCTGGGGCTGACTGCTCTCAGGGTTCTGAGCAATAAGGTGAAGGAAAATTTTTGCAACTGCTTTTTTCCTGCGTAACTCCAGGGAAAGTCCTTCTGTTTTAGTGCACAGCTCTGCAGCTGGACCATCATAAGCACTAAATTGTATCGCCTGGTTTCTTACGCGTGGTTCTATCTATGCACAGACATCTTCCCAACCTAATTGTGCATCATCTTCTTCATGAATATAGGGAATAAAATCTACTCTACAGGTGAAACCAAACCTTTCCAGGATGGGTTTAGATGGTGTTTACTTGGATGGGGGGAGCTCAACCAGGAAAGAGGAGGATGTTATAGTGTTTGCAGGGAGTTGCCCAGTAAAAAGCATGGAGTGGTGACAAACATGCAAAAAAACGAGTCTGAATTTGATAAAAGCCAAGCAAAGATGCTGCATTCAGAGATATGAGACTGAGTATTTCCCATCTGGGGCCATCCTTCCAGTCTTCACATTGATTGCGCAGCCCCAGTGTCCATTGGGAAGAGTGCTCCTGGCCATGCAGAGCACTGAAGCACCCCAGGTGCCTTTGGTAGGAGCTGCCTGGCACCAAACACCTGCAAATCTGATAAAACCTTGGACATGGAAGCCTCATATTATCTTCCCAAGCAATTGGGAGTATGCCCAGCGTACTCAGTTACCAGAGCTAGCACAGAGGCTAAGGTGGCAGAAAACATACTGGTATAAAACAAGCATCTCAATCCATCCAAAATTACAGCCAGATCTTCAGGTAATTGAATCTCCAATTCACCATTCTCCTATTTCCTCATTCCTTTTTCCCAGTTCAGACCTTTTCCTCCCACTTCAGATCCACGCAGACCTTCCTCCACTGTTCAGCTCCAAACACTTCTCCCCACACATACCTTTCTCTCTTCCTTTCTGCCAAGCCACAGAGCCTGAGAGGCAGTCCAGGAGCCAGGTCTGACACATCCCATGGTGTCCCCTCCTGGCACACCTCCTCTCTTGGAGGAACCCACCCAGTCTCCTGAGCCCTTCTTCTCACTCAAGGCACCAAAACCTTTTTGTACACCCACTCCAACTGTCACCCTGGCTGTCTTATGGCACTCATGCCAGTTTTGCTTGTTAGGTAAAAATCTCTCCCTGCTCTCTGCCGGAGAAATCAGAAAGCACCCATGGACCATCTTAGTCACCGGTTTGCAAACACAAGCTGCTAAGGGCTAAAGCATGCATAGAAGGCTGCAAGCCCCAAGCAGGAAGGTTACCTGCAGGACACTGCATGTTGCTTCTTGTCCCTCGATGTGGCAGTGTTGAGGTTCACCAGGTGAGCTCTTGAGCTTCTTGTTGCAATGCTGCACTGCACCACGTTGGGCTGCTCCCGGACAGCTGTGAGATCAAACGACGTCTGACGCTGGAGAAGAGGGGAAAAAAAGGCAACTTCCAGTGCCTGTGCTTTATGTAACAGCACTGTTCACATCCGGACCTGGAGAAGCTGCTGGTTCTCAAGGAGATAATCAGCAATTTCATAATATAGCATAGACATGTCCCAGCTAAGCCATCAGGTGTGGAGCTGCAAATGCCCCAGGACTTTGAACCCCTGTTTATTTACAAGTGGCCTGTAGAGGAGGTTACCCCACACAGCAACCTGTGCATCTCCTGCCTGGGAGAAACACAACTCACATCCAATTTTTCCTATGGGCCACAGCTGCTACAGCTGGGGTGGCACAAGGAGGTGGTGGCCTTTGGCCACAACAAACAGATGAACGTTGGAAAATATGTTTGTCACCTTCTGAAATGAAATACAAGTCATTTAGATGCCGCCTAAATAGATTAAAAAAATATAAACGGAAAATATGTGAATGCTCAGGACAAAAGAGTAGAAGAAAGGCAAATAAAAGAAGTCCCAACACTCAGTAGATTGCTATTAATCAAAACAAATAAACAAGATGTAGAGGGCAGATCTCCTTGCATGCCTAAGATTATTCCAGTTTATAATTCAGTAAACAACAAACTGCATTAAACCTGCAGCCCCTGTAGAAAGAGATGCAAATTGTGTTTGTATTGGGAGTTAAAATTTCAGATGAGTATTTGATAAACAGGCTAAGAGCTTTAACATGCCACCTATTCCTCCCTCCTCTAGCTTTGGAGGTGACTTTGAGCATGGTGCTTCTCTTCTGGTGGACTCTGTTCTCCTATTCCATAAAATGGGGATAACATCTTATCCCTTCTGTGAAGTGCTTTGCCATCTGCAGATGAAGCCAGCAGAAGCTCTGTGTTAGGTGGTACTCCCTCCATGGAGCAGCAGTGCACGACTTCAGGGGAGTTTGTTCTTGTATCTCTTTCCCAAACTGAAATTTGATATAAATCTAAGTTCCTTGATGAGTTTGGCTGCCATTAAGCCTTCAAAGCAACAAGACCTAGCTCTTGCTCAGCAGGCTCTTGAAGAACAATTTCCCAGCCTCTGCTTTTACACCTGTTATCAATTTTCCTGGGTTTTCTTCCTGCTTTTGGAGGACAGATTTCTAAGAAATCGCTGAGGAGAAGGCAAAGTTGAGTCTGTACCTCCAGGCCTTGCTGTTGAAACCACGCCAGGGACCCATTTTCTGGAGCCCTCCCCACAGCACCCCTGTGCCTTTGGGTTGGGGCAGTATGCTCTGCCCATCAGTGTAGGAGATCTGGCATTCTCTTAACACAGCTGAGTCAAAACTGCAGCATGAGCCCAGCAGATCAGGAGAAGGTTCTGTAACTCAGACCTAATTTAACCCTTTGTAGGGAAAGTTCAGTGCATTAGAGTCCCAGGGAAGCTGGGCTAATGAATCAAAACTCTGCTCATCCCCCAAACAGCCCTTCAGGAATCAAACAGCCTCTGATTGCTTTTTGGAACCTATAGTTATATCTGAAACAATGAAAAAACTCTTTTCAGTGCTTAATTAAAAGCTGGGAATGGGAGCTCAAAGCAGCCAGTGTCAAACCAATCCCTGCGCTCCCGCTCCCATCTCCCTCTCATAAGAGCAGGTCAGAGCCCCAGAGTCTCCATGCAAAAAGAAGGAAGTTCCTTAACAGCACTGAAGATCACAGAATTTGCTTTCATAAGATCAAATTTGCTGTAGGGCATCATGTTAGGTGTTAATCTACGGTCTCCCATTGTACTCCTCCGGCATTATAAAACTAGCTGATTATACAACCCCATCCCAGAGCCTGCACGTGTCTTCAGATGCTCCTCACACTCCTAACCCACGTCTCAGATTAGATAATCTTCGTTTTGTAATTGCTCTCCGTGCCACCTCCCCTTCCAACATCTGGTCACCTGGAGACTTTAAAAAGCACCTCAAAGTCACCAAGCTACGTGAGATCTCCTAGCAGAGGTTTGACTTTCCTAGAAACATGCCAGTGTCAGAAGAGGGTTTTGCGCCGATGGCAGCGGCTGCAGCGCCCGAGGAGCCCCAGCAGACAGACTTCCAACTGGTGCGAGTCAAGAGCACGTGGTGCCGGGTCAAGAAAGGAGAAACCCTTTCTGATCTCGAGGACAAGATCATTCTTTCCGAAGCAAAAATGTAAGTATAGGAGCTCACGTTGCTCCCAGTACGTTGGCGATAGGGCTGGACAGCTCTGGCTGTGCAAAGTGTGCTGTGTCCCCAGTGGGATGCACCTCAGCTGAGCTCTCTTTCAACAAGGGAATGGTCAGCTGCAAATTCTCTGCTGTTTTCATACAGCTGAGGGGCTGTGATTGGTGTTGGTTGTGCCATCCAAAGCCAATTCCACCAAGTAACATCCAAA